CGCCTTTAAATATTTGCAAATTATCAGAAACAGGGAACACTGAAAAACGAAAACATTTACAACTATGTAAGAAAACGGAACAATTAACCTGTAGTAAACATCCACTAGAGGGCGCCTTTAAATATTTGCAAATTATCAGAAACAGGGAACACTGAAGAACGAAAACATTTACAACTATGTAGGTAAGGGCTCTCCTATTTGAAGGTATTGTAAAAGGATTGTGGCATGGTGTTTTGAATATTAGTGAATATTAGCTCTCCTATTTAAAAGTAACTAAAGCTATTGTTTCAGTGGAACTTTAGGCAGAGTAGACGTAGTAGGTTCGAGAACTTTAATGGACTGTAGATGCCTATTGAATGAAAAGGGGGCATGAGAGAATTATTCAACAAGTAGTGTTAATAAAACTCACGTAGGCAGTTTATTGTTGTTGTTGTTTTGCATCGTTGCTTCTCTTTTTAAGGTAATGAAAAACGGAAATAATTCCCATTTTTCTGTAAATATAATCGAGAAACCTTTTGAAGTTCCAGTCGTTTTATACCATCGTTCATCTAGAAACTTTACACATTTTAATTAAGTTAATCAATAAACTTGTAATTGACAGCATTATTATTTTTTATTTATTTATTCACAAAAATGTGTTAACAAAAAATACATGAACGATGTTGTTGTTTTTCTTCACTATTCCCCGGAGTTTAAATGTGACATCTGGTGTTAATTCATCATCGCGAGAGCGTTGCAGTTTTAAATGGAGCATGTGGAAATTCTGGTGCCATAGCAACTGCCACGTGAATATCAAGTGAAGTTTTATCGTTGTAAACCAACAGGCCCGGCATGACCAGGTGGTTAGGGAGCTCGACACCCAATCTGCGGGTCGCGGGTTCGAATCTCCATCACTCCAAACATGCTCGCCCTTTCAGCCGTGGGGGGTGTTATAATGTTACGGTCAATTCCACTATTCGTTGGTAAAAGAGTAGCCCAAGAGTTGGCGGTGGGTGATGATGACTAGCTGCCTTCCCAGTGTCTTACACTGCTAAATTAGGGACGGCTAGCGCAGATAGCCCTCGTGTAGCTTTGCGCGAAATTCATAACAAACAAACAAGCAAACCAACGAATTGTAGAGTTTCTTTAGAACGCGAACAACAGAACGATTAATTTTGAACTGTTAATCTTAACAATGCAAACGTTTGGTATGTCTTCTGTTAAGTCACTAATTTGATAAACTTAATCTGTAATTTTAGTATTTTTAACTGGTATACGTGAATATCATAAGCTTGTCTTATTCAAAATCTTAATTATTACAGTATTTAATATCCTTAAACTAATTACGTTGGAGATGTTTGCGTGAAATTGACGTGTTAGCCAACACTTAAAGCTCTTCGAAGACTTTGACTTTTGTATTCTAAAATTAATTATTATTTTTCTATTTTTACGTATCATAATTATACATTTTCGGGTGTTTCTTCAAATATGAAAGCTTAGAAAAACGTAACTGTATTAACTGCAGGATTCTTTGTACACTATTATAAGCACGCCACGAAGCTGCGGGTGGCTTAGTCGTTAACGTGTTTGGACTGTAAATCCGAGAACTCGTGGTTCGCTTCTCGATTCCGCAAAGACACACTTCTCATTTGGAGGCTATACGTGCTTTTAGAGAACAGTTGGCAGTGGGTGCAGTTTTCTAGCTGCCTTCTCGTTAGTTTGTCAGTGCAAAAATTATGTGCACCTTGATGTAGCTTTGTGAAATTTTGAAACATCGAATGATAAATCAGTCTTTCTTTTTTTTACATTTTCTAACTGTCGCTTTAAAAACACTACACTACACTAAGTTGCTTCAGGGTTCCAACAAAGTGGCTATATTGTTGCGATCTTATACTAGTATCAGTAAGACATTCACAAAAAATATTTTTAAAAACAATAATCCATATGGAGTTAGTCTAGTTCGTTCGTGTTTTTCATAGTAAAGTTTCATATCAATACCAGAACTATTGTTAATTTCAGTAGTTGAAGCAGGTGCTTTGAACTGTGGGGAAATTTTAACGAAACGAAGTTTAAAGTGCGTCTTACTTTTATTTTTCCTAGTTCGTTGCCATTGGACCGTCCACAAAAGAGGCATTACTTCAAGCAGGGTTGAACCCTTCCGCTACTGCAGCTAAGCCTACTCCCGAAGGTTTGACCCAAGCAATCCAATCGTTGCTTATTGGTTAACTTGTGAAAATACGGTGCTACGTTGGAGTTATGTTCCAGTTTATAACAACTAGATTTTTCGTTGAGTTTCAAATAACCAACGATGTGTGTCAAACGCAAAGATGGAGCTGAAAGATATGAGATTCTGTTTATGCCTTATAAAATATCCCTATTATTTATCATTGTTTTGTTAGTTTGAAAGAGTGGTTTATATAATGTTTTTATAGAGATATGAAAGTAAAAATCGTTTTCCCAACCTCTTAACCATTGATGGTCAACGTCCTAATTACTAATTATGTTTAGTGTATTGATCTACTCACCATCTTTAGCATTTGTGTAATTTGCAAATATTTATAGGCGCCCTCTCGTGGATGTTTACTAGAGGTTAATAATGCTTGGAGACGGCTTGAATGGGTAAAGGAAAAATTTTAATATAAGTTTAAATAACAGCAAATGTACAACGTTTCGACAAGGTTTTTGTCATCATCAGGTCTCCAAGCATTATTAGTCTCAAAGTGGATTCCTCGTCATCGAATGTTATATTTCTTGGCGCCCCTGGTTCCTTGAATCTAGATACATGCCAAGGAAAATGTCATTTTTAGAATCAACTGGAGAAGATGAAATACTTTGAAAAGTACTATTCTCGATAACACTTGGGGATTTTTTTAAAGAATAAAACTTTTCCAGGGTGTCATTTTTAGACTCAACTTGAAAAAGATTTTAAATGAACAACGATTTTTGAAACATTATCGAATACTGTCACTTACGAACAAGTACAGTTTTCGAAAAACGGTGTGGCTAGTTTGTTTATTACTAGAAATATATTTTTGTAATGTGTTTATAGTACTTGTTCAGTCATTGGTGGTCTTCGTAATCAGAGGCTGATAAAACCAATTACGTCATCATATATATCAAGTATATCGTTAAAAGTTATCAGAAAAAAACTTCAGTAAAAAATAAAATAAAGGACAAGACTTTATAATTCTTAATGTTTTAAACTAGATGAAAGCTAAGCCTTGCCTATTGGTTAGTGTGCTGGACTGTGAATCCAAGAGTCCATGGTTCGCGTCCCGTTTCCGCAAAAACTCGCTCCGTGGGACCCAGAGTTTTTATAAGTGATAGTGAAATTTCAATATTCAGCCAAACAAGAGTTGGCGGTGAGTGTTGTTGACTAACTGTCTCCCCTTTAGTATATCAGTTCAGAATAAATGGACGGCTATGTGTAGGCACCCCATTCTGTAGTAGCCTGAACATGACTTAATGGTTAGCGCATCGGGCTGTGAACCTGAGGATCCATGGTTTCGATTAGAGTTGGCGGTGAGTGCTGTTTACTGAATATGTTTCCTACAGATTATCTTTCAAAATTATGGACGGCCATCCTCCAACGATTTATCCAACTGCACGCGTGAAAGATCGTACATTTGAGTTTAATATGACGTTAATAAATCATCTATGATGAATCCGGAAGCACAATAATCTTTATATATATATATATATATATGTTAATTTAAATTGATGCTTCCCCATGTAAAAGCTCCACTAAAACAGTCCTGCTTTAGATCACTGGTAGAGACGAGGTAGGTCAAAATGACCCATGTGTAATAAACTTCAAAAATATTATCTTTATAATACAGTGGGATCAGAATGGCCCACAAACGACAAACAGATGATTAAAACAGTAACAAATAGAACTGAAACAGAACATCCGCACTGCTCAACACTCATGAACTGATTGAGGATATGATACCAAAAATATCGGGTAGAGAGCAGCACTAGTTGAGTTGAGGGTTAAACAGGACTCGCGAAGTTTCTCCCTTACCATTTATTCTCCTATAATCACTATGCATTTTTAAGTGTAATATTTTGGGTCTACTGTATATATATATATAGTAAACTGGAAATCTATCGAAAAGTCTTAATTTGTAATCGCTAATCCAGGTGTCACGAAAATTAAAGTTATAAAATAACTTGCCTCAAAAAAATATAACAGTGAACGCCTATTGCGCATAGAAGTTGATTATAGGTTTGCATTAAAATAGATGGCGCCACCTTTTAGAATAATAATTAGGCTAACTTAAGGTACTTCAGCCAGTACTGATAAACTTTATAGTTGCGTTTTATATCGCTAGAAATATAATAAAAATCAATCTATACACAAAGTTTGAGGAGTCTTAAGTTTGCAACATAACTATCAAATTAACTTCTTTTTTTACCAATCACTGTCAATGGGACCGTTTATGTCATATTGGGTAATTTTATTGTTTTAAAACGCAATGTGTAAAGAACTGGCCAAGAAATTTGGGTAAATTCTTTTTCTGTGTGATTCAATTATTATTTTTCGGGATCCCGATAACCAACAAAGAAATGGGTTGAATCACAGACAGTCTAGTGCATAAAAAGTTAGGCCTAGCATGGCCTGGTGGTTAGGGTGCTAGACTTGCAATCTGCGGGTTCTAATCCCTGCCATCGAATATGTTCGACCATTTAGCTGTGGGAGAGTTATAATGTGATAGTCAATCCTATTATTCGTTGATGAAAAAAAGTATCCCAATAGTTGGCGGTGGGTGGTGTTGAATAGCTGCTTTCCTTCTAGTCTATCATTGCTAAATTAGGGACGGCTGGCGCAGATAGCCCTCGAGTGGCTTTGTGCGAAATTCAAAACATACCATGAAAAGTTTATAAGGCCTGTATGACAAGTATATTGGTCTAACTTTTTTTTTTTACTTGTTCTAAATTTTTTGTTTGAAAATATATTGTAAAAAGGCTGCTAACTAGTTACCTGCCGAAAACGGTCGAATTTCTTAAATTCATAGTTAACGGTTTAATCTATCGTGACGGCAAAATGGGAACACTAGTATCATCTATTGCCGTTCAAGGCTGGGAAACCCAGTGGTCGGCAAGTCGGGCTGTCGATTGAAGGGTTCGTGACGTGGTGTCCCGGTGAATACACTCCATACTTTCAGCCCTGGGCGCGTAATAAAAAAAAGTGAGAGTCAATCCCGTCAAACACTCGGACAAATCCTTTGTGGCGGTGAGTGCTGCTGACTGATTGCCTTTCATCTGGTCAGCAGTTTTGAATATTAGTGAATTTTGTTAACAAGTAAGGACGCTCCTATTTGAAGGTATTGTAAAAGGATCGTGGCATGGTGTTTTGAATATTAGTGAATTTTGTTAACAGGTAAGGACGCTCCTATTTGAAGGTATTGTAAAGGATCGTGGCATGGTGTTTTGAATATTAGTGAATTTGTTAACATTTGTGTTGGTGGTCTGGTTTTTGTGATCATCTGATACAAACTGTTTATTAATCACACAAAGTGAATTACACGTGAAGATTTGTGTTGGTGGTCTGGTTTTTATGGTGTAATACAAACTGTTTATTCATCACACAAAGTGAATTACACGTGACGAATTGTGTTGGTGGTCTGGTTTTTGTGATCATCTGATACAAACTGTATAAAACTATTTCAGGAACGTGATTTTCAACATAAATGTTGAATTTTGTAGGGTGAAATACTTGAAAAGATGTTTCTAAAAGTGAAACAAGGTTAGGAGTGGCAATGTGGGGTAAAGGGGGGGGGTTGTGTTGGTGGTCTGGTTTTTGTGATGTAATACAAACTGTTTATTAATCACACAAAGTGAATTACACGTGAAGTTCTTCACGTGTAATTCACTTTGTGTGATTAATAAA